TAAAATGTATTTGCAATGAATAAGTCATTGATTTTACAAAATTCAATCATTCTATCTCCAGCCTCATTCCTGTCACCAAGTCCATGTTTTCTGACCACTGATTCTTCTTCACTATTCCCAACTTTTGCATTCCAGTCACCCATTATTATCAATGCATCTTGATTGCATGTTCAATCTATCGCCGATTGTAAAAGTTGGTAGAAATCATCTGTTTCTTCTTCTTTGGCTGTGGTTGTTGGTGCATATATCTGAATGATAGTGGTTATCACCTAACTTGGGAGGGACCAGAGAGCATTATGCTGAGTGAACTAACTCAGTTCCACAAGGATGAATATTGTATAAAACCATTATAGTAGAATGACTATAAAGTTCTAAGAGGGGTGGAAGCAGAGGGATGAGGATGTGCAGGGGGAGGAGGGGATTAATCATGGGGTGGTACAGCAATTCGGTATGTTGACTTCATGTTACATTATGTACAAAGTGTGCTGTCCCAGAAATACTTTGGAATATAGCATTATTTAATTTTTTCAAGGTAAAAGGAAAAGAATGGTTAAAACGACTTTCCTGCTTCCACCACAAAGCCAGTGCAGGGACAGAAAGACCAGCCAGACATGATGACATTTGGACAACTGCAAATCATACATAACACACTGAATTAGAACCAACTATAAAATGCAGGTAAATGTCACTTAGAGTTACAGGGTTACTTAATCCAATCTCTCTCTCTCTCTCTCTCTCTCTCTCTTTCTCTCTCTCTCTCTCTCTCAGCCTTGGAGTCAGCTCTGATGCATAACTGACCCTCTAATAGTTTCCCAAGGCTGCAAACGGGACAGGAGGAGAGGGCTTCTTCTCCAGAGATCTAACCCAATCCAATCCAGCCGGTGGCCCGGAGCCACCAGAGAAGCCTGATCTTCGGGTTAACAGTGCAGCTCCTTATAGACTATGCCATGAAGTTCCTTCTTCACTCGGTGGAACTGAGTTACTGTCCGCTTCACTGAATAAACCTTCGTGCTTAGTAGGGATTGGGAATGCAGTGTGGATGGGCTAAGACAAAGCCTTAGCTTAACAGAGCTTGCCTTACGGCGGGAAAGACAGATAGTAAATATGTGCCACATAGTAATAAATGTTACAGAGAAAAAGAAAGCAAGGCAAGGAGATAATGAATCCCCTTCAAGACTGGAACTGAGCTCACCCCATCGATCAGCTTTCACCCCAACAATGGACAAGCCTTTATGGTGAATGATGGTACCAGAGAAGAATGCATTCCTTAGAACAACTGACCATAGATCAAGGGCAGCATTGGCCTGGAATAAAGCAAGAAAGCAAGACGGGACAGGAAAGAGAGGTGAGTAGAAACGGCAAGGAGGAAGTGGAGAGTCGGCTGGTACATTGCAGGAATTTAAATCAATGTCAATAATCAAAACATATGTTAATTGTTGAATGGAAAACCTATTTGCAAAACTTCCACTCAAATGAAAATAAAAGCTTACAGAGAAGGATGGGGTAGAGAAGGAAGTTGACGGCATGTTAAAGGAAGGTCTCGATGAAATACTATTTGGACAGACACCGACATGACGTGAGGAGATAAAGCAGAGCGGCTGAGGGTCTGCATTTCAGGTCATGGAAGCGACAAATGCACAGACCCTGCGGATCGGGCTGAAGAGCAGGTGGGCCAAGCAGGAAATAGATTTCTAAAAGCAAGCAGTCGAGGACCAGAACTGCAGGTGTCCTCTTAACATACACCACACCGGGGAAAGAACCAAAGCAAACAGTGCAAAGAAGCGGCAAAGGGCTTAGGGGTGTGAAACAAGACAGTGGCACGACTCACTCAGGGCACTCACTGCCATGAGATCGGAACCAACCTCGAGTCAGAACTGACCTTCCACTGGGTTTTGGGAGGCTGACCGTCTCGGGGAGGAGACCGGCCATCCTTCCCTCAGAGCAACTGGTCATTTGTAACCACCTGGGGATGTCACCTATGGGTCCGCAGTGCAGCTTCCTACCAACCGTGCCAGAGAACGAATGTGACTAAACACAGGTATACTGAACAGGTATACTGAAGAACGCCTTCTGCTGCTGGGAATGAAGGAAGGAGAACGCGTCAAAAGGAAAGTGATTGACAGTGAGAAAAGAGACGGGGTGATTAGTGCAGAATCTTCAGCTAAAGAGAAAAGTGGTGAGGCTGGGGGCCGAGCAAGAGTGAGACGGAGGTTCTGTCAGGAAGGCTGAGCTGGTGGAACGGGCTGACAGAACAGCGGGGGATTTAGAGGTAAAACAGAAATCAGAACAACTTGGTTGTGTATCTGACCCAGAAAGTGGAAAACCAGCCATACCATACTGATATTTAAATAAAATAATGCATGAAAAGCACTTAGCACAGTGGCTGCCATCTAAGTACATAATGTGCTATTACTGATGTTCATTATAATTATTATTTTTATTACAGCCAAGCTGAGAACTAATTACAGGTTCTTGGCTCAGCAGAGATGAGTGTAGAGAAATCTCTAATCCTTCTGCAGAGCTCAGCCTCCCCAGCCCCAGCCCCATCTCCACCACGGCCTTCCCAGCCCCTGCCCTGCACTCCCAGGCCTGCTTCCCAAGCCCCACCACAGCGTCCCCAGGATCAGCCTAGCACCCCACCTCCCCTTGCCAGTGTCTCCCCAGCTCCAGCTCAGCTGAGTACTCCAGCCCCAGCCCAGCCTCCTCAGCTCTAGCCCAGCACCCTGAGCCCCAGCCCTGCTTCCCTTGCCCCACTGCTGCCTCCCCAGCTCCATCCCAGCAATCTCAGCCCCAGTCCTGTTTCCCCAGCCCCGCTACAACCCCCCAGCCTCCCTAGCCCCACCCAGCCCAGCACCCTGAGCCCCAGCCCTGCTTCCTCAGCCCCACTGCTGCCTCCCCAGCTCCAGCCCAGCTCAGAGCCTCAGTTTCAGTCTTTCTTTCCCACCCCCCGGTCGAGCCCTCCAAGTGCTGGCTTTGCCCTGACTTTACCTGTGCCACCTAACCATGAGTCAGCCCATTTCTCAGCCCCAGCAAGGCCTCTTTCTCACCTGAATCCCCAGGTAGCAGGAGAGCAGTGTCTTAAACCACCATCTAGGAGGCATCATCCATTGATTTGAGCACCTGCCACTGATCTTCACTGCCTATGGCAAACTGCACACCTCACAATTCAAAACCCCAGCTTCTGCCCCTCCTGCAGCCTTCCACTGCTGAAGTCAAGCCCGAGCCCCTGCCTGTGCTCACTCAGGTGAGTCCTGGGGGAAGCGAGTTCACGTGGGGACCCTGATTCAGTACAGCAGGGACAGAAATGACATTTCCAGGAGAGATCTATTTCAGTAGATTCTACTCAACCACAAAAGTGCTAGAAGAAGCCCAAGAGTTGAAGATACCGTCACCGAAAACAACAGCCCATCATATCACACACAACGAGTAAGAAAATGAATCCACAGAGGTTACTTGGGCAGACAGACATGACAAAGAGATAGGGACAAGTGAACCAGCCCATCCACTATCATGCAGAGGCCCCGCAGACGGTGGCTGAACACGGATATCTGAAAGGTGCTGCATACACATCTATCAGATGGTGGAGCTAGGAGGCGGCAACACTGCCAACATTTCTTAATTATAATCAAATACTCAGATGAATTAATCACTTCAGGAGGCACCAAGGTCAACCGACATGACAGTCCACAGGACAAGGTTTGACATTTTACTTTGGTGAATAGAGACTGCGGAGTTAAAAACTATGGACCATCTAAGGTACAAGCTTGGTTTTCTCTGGCTGGAGTAAAGAAGAGCGAGGTAAAGCAAACACGGAAACAGAGTTCTTAGCACTGAGAGACTTCACAGTCCTCCGCTTCCACAAACCGCGGGCCTAAGGATGGAGATAAACCTGGCTGCAACTGCTCTGAGAGGACTCACCAAAAAGGTCCTAGGCAGAGCAGGACATGAACGTACAAGAAAACCGAGATGGCCGTAAAGGCCAGGCTGAGTGGCCTGAGGGGGACCAGAGGAACCCTGGACGCCTGGCTGAGCCACTATGTTGAGCCTGAAATGGAACTCGTCTCTGTGGTACAACCTTCAGTCAAACAACCGACTAACAGATCTCGAAGGTGAAGAGTAACGCCAGGGAGCCAGTCAGAACTTAGAAGACTCCTCCTCATCGGATCACAGGACGGCACTGTCCACGGATAAAGGTCAGCGCGTAGGAAGGGGGAGCATGGCAGGATGAATGGAAAGAACTCGGAGAGAAAGTGGGAAGAGTCACGTGCGGGTTGTCGTCGATGTCACAGAGAAGAATGTCTAGAAATGCTGGGAGCGAACAGTTTAAAAGCGATGTATGATAGGGTATCATGGCTATGACAAGAGTCCAGAATGAAGGCCACGTAGTGGAGTGTACTCGGGTGGGCAGTGAGGGGGGATTGTATACAATGAAGGAAGTTTTCTTTTACTTTTCAGAGAGAGGAGTCAACTGGGGGGAGGGGTGGGCAAGGAGAAAAGTGCAACAATGAATAAATGGAAATCCAAAATATCTGTAAATGTTCATTAACATTAATAAAATTTTTTTTAAGAAAAGGAAATGCTGAGATAGAATTCCAGTCTGCTTTGTGAACTTGAACTCAACTAATTTTTAAAAGTGTTGGAAGATGCTGAGTTACCGTGTAGACGTAGAACGATATGTCCAGGACAAAACCAGTGCTCAGGGACTGCTTGTAAGCGTGAGGGTACATGAAATCACCTGCCCTCAAAGACAAACAGAAACTTCTGTTGGAAGTTTCCAGTATTTGACAGACTCTTAAGGTCTAGGCTGTTCCAGGTCAAAAAAAGGAAATCTTGAACTTGATGGCCGTTGTTGTCCTAAGCCATCCACTTAGAAGCGATCCATAGCTTCTCCCCAGCAGGTTTTCAGAGGCTGTAAGGCCCACAGGACACTGCCTATCTATGAGCTGGCGGACTCAAACCTCTTGGCTTTGAGTTGGCAGCACAACTCCTTACCTCTAGGCCACCAGAGCCCCTGTTGTTACCAGGTGACATCAAGTCAGCTCTCACTCACAGAGACACTATGAATAACAGATAAAAATCTTGCCCTATTTGCACCGTTCCGCATCCCCACTAGGCTCAAGTCCACTCTGCAGTGTGTCAGTCCACCTGGTCGAGGGTCTTCCTCTCTCTCTCACTGACTTTCTACTTTTCCAATCACGACTGTTGTTCCTAAGAAATCCAAGCCATATCCTTTAAGTCTTTATAACACACTGCCAGACTTGCTGGACGAGGGAAAGAACCCTCTGGCTTCCATTCAGAGCTCGATGAAGGTATCCACGGTTATCAGGTCAACTCTGCTGGGGTGAGCCCTGCTTTCTAAGGTACATACATCTGGGAGGGAACACAGTTCTGTATACTCGCTCTGAGACTGAAAATGGTTAGTGCTTCCAGACCTGACCTGTCAACTTCCATCTGAGAAACATCTGCCCCCCTCACAGCTGGCTACTAAACTTGAGGGTCCCTTCCTGTGGACAAGGCAGTCCTATTTTTGTCCAGAGTTAAGCAGGAGTAAGGAGAGCTGGTTTCTTGGCACAATGGGATACTCTTTGTGGAATCTTTTAGGTGCTTCTGACATGCCCTTGAGACAGCTTAGCACGATGCCTCTTAGCTACCCATCAGTTCCTTAGAATCAGCAGGAGAATCGCAGTGTTCACATGTGGCAAGCCAGTGACCAAGTGATCGGGTTCAACTGCAGCTTCTAGCCAAAGGTGCTTGAGAAAAAAGTCACGATTTCCTGGATATCAGGTAATATCGTTCTTGTAATTTTTTAAATACTTTTCTTCCCCCAAATGTATCTCAGTGTTATGCCATCTCCTCTCTCTCCCTTCTTGCTTTCCTTGTTGGTTCTCCCCCGCCCCCATTTTCTTTCATTTTTCAACACTGAAATACCCAGTCCCAACATGCACCATAGAACAGCTGGTGGATTCAAACTGCTGGCCTTCTCGTTAACAGGCAAATACTTAGCAGCGTGCCACCAGAGCTCCCTTGCTGGTCAAACCCTGATCTGTATCACTTAGCATGGTGCCCTTTAGTGCACGGCGTTATTATGCTGTGTTTTGTGAATCCCAAGCAGTAATCAGAAGCTGGTGGATTTGACAAGCTAACCCTTTGGTTAGAAGTCTAGTGTCACCAGGCTCCTCAAGGAAGAGCTCAGGGGAATATATCAAGGAAGACTGTTCCAGGCAAAGCAGCTCTCTGGAAAAGAACTCTGTTTGTGATGTTTGCTGATTTCAGTGGTGCTTACATTTCTATCCTCATGGTTTCAAGCCATCATGTGGCTACTGTCTAGTATGGAACTGGGAGGAGACACTCATCATCGGGCCTGGAGAGTCAGGACCACCTGCTGCTGGCTGGGTCGTTCAGCACACGCCCGAAGAGAGGGTGTACTTAGCCTAGAACTGCTGGAGGAGGCCTGCTGTTGGAGTGGACCAAGCAAGAGGGGAAGAAGTGGGTGAGCTGAAGAAGACAGCCTAGGATCAGGGCATGCAGCGCCATGCAGGCAATTGTCAAAACTCTGAGTGAAATGGAAAGATTGCAAATTTGGGCCTATATAGTGCCTGATACAACATCTGTGAAGTGTTGAGAATTTAGTAGAAGGAGGTCAAGGACATAGCAAGAAGTCCAGTAGAGACGGCTATTGCAAAAATCCAAAGGAAGTTGGCTTAAACATCAACAGTGAGGAAGGGGATGAAGTTGGATTATGACTGCGTTTTGAAGGGAAATTGTGGGATGGATGGGCAGTTGGAGAAGAGGAGAATCGATGGGATGGGTGCTAGGGGGTTTTGCCCAAGTTCTGGGAGGAAAGGCTTTGGCATTTACTGGGTTTGAACATTGCAAGTGGATGGATTTGGGAGAGGAAAGCAGGAGTTAAGTTTTGGATATTTTGAGTTCAAGATGTTCATTATGTATGCAGGTGGAGAAAATGAATAGGCAGTTGGAAATACAAATCTGAAGTTCAGGGTTATAAATTTGGGAACCATCATCATGCAGATGGATACTCTCAACCTGGGAGTGAATACAAATAGCAGAGGCATGACTGAGGACTTGGTTCTGGGCACTGCAAAGTTCTGACATCTGGAAGATAAATAGGAACCAGCAGAGAAGGTGGGAAGGAGGAGAATTAAGAGAGAAGGATGCACCAGAACGTGTGCGAGGTCAGTGCTTCCTGAAGGAAGAATAATCATGCTGCTGGTGGACCAGGTAAGACTGAGATTTGAAGGAAGCAGCCTGGAGGTCACAGATGGCCCTGATGGGTGCCTTCTGCAGCATAGAGACAGGGACAGCCTGACTGTAACGGATGCCACAGGAATGGGCGGTAAGGAACTGGACGCTACTGGTTCTATCTTGGATGAGAAATTGTGCTACATCGTGCCTAGTGGAGCAGAGGATGGAGGCAAGAGCTGCAGGACGTGAGGTCTAGAGAGAGTTTGAGAAATTGCTATATTATAACCACAGTATATACACTGAACAAGTGTAAGTGCTCAGCTTTTTAGACAACTCTAAAACACGATTGATGGGTGAATGAAATACAAGTTCAAACACAAAATGTTACAACGGAGGATAGTGATTTCCTGAAACGAAGTCATTGGTGTTACATTTCCAAGGCCAAAGGCACATGTCCATTTGTCTACCTACTAATTGCAGTGCAATGAATAACTTTTATAGGTCTTTTGGGCTAAATTTGTGCAACATGAATGGACAAGATTATGGAAATAAGGGGCTTGAAGCCCACCTGGAGTACTGGACAGCACTGCTAATCATGCAGGTAAGGTGCATGCACTCTTGTGCGGATGCCGTTGTTGTTAATGCCATCATGTTGAGTATGACTCCAAGCAGCCCTGTGAACAGCACGTCTGTCCTGTGCGGTCCTGTCAGCTCTGACACACTTGAGTCCATCGCTGAAGTCACTGTGTCAGTCTGTCTCATTGAGGATCTTTCTCTCTTCCGCTGACCCTCCAACTTTCCAAGCAAATAAGGTATATAAACAGGGTGGGAATATCTATCTATCTATCTATCTATATCTATATCGGCTACCCAATGTGGACAGAGAGTGGGGTGGGGCTCCCCAATTAAAACAAGCTTAGAAGGAGGAGTGGCATCCACTTCCATAATAGCTTGCCTCTGGAAACCCTATGTACCTGGAGAGAGGCTGAAAGGCACCCAAGCGTCGAGGACTCTCCTTCATAGGGTAGCTATGAGTCGCCTGCGACTTGATGGCACTTAACAACAACAACAACAACAATCTATATCTAAGTGGCATAGCACTGCTCTGTCCACTACTTGGAATATATCCAGAAAAAACGAGAACTGCGGCACAAACGGAGACTTAAAAACCAATGTTCACAGCAGCATTATCCACCATCACAAGAACATAGAAAGAGCCCAAATATCCAACTACAATCAAATGGATTGAGAAATTATGGTACATTCACACAATGGGATAGTACACAGCATTCAGGAGCAATGCTTTTGTAAATCACTACCTAACTTGGGAAGGACCAAAGAGCATAATGCTGAGTGAACTCAGTCCTAGAAGACAAATGCTGTGTAAGACCATTCTTGTAGAACATGTATGAGGATATATGGGGGTCCAAGGGGGGAAGATGGGGAGCGGAGGGGTGAGGATGGGTGGTGGTGGCGGAGTTAATCATAGGATCACACAGTCTGAGGCATGAGGAGGAGTGAACGAAGGAAATGGGAAAGATGTAGTGAGAAAAACAATGTGTATGAACTTTGTAAGTAAATCAGTATTTTATTTAAAAAAATAGCAATTCTGTCATGGTGGTGCTGTGTTTAAAGCACTTGGCTGCTAACCAAAGCCATCCATTACTTTGCAAGAGAAAGATGTGGTAGTCGGCTTCCATAATGATTACAGCCCCGGCCACCCATAAGACCGTTCTACTCCGGCCTGTAGGATCACTCTGCATGGGCTTTGACCCCACAGCAGTGTTTGGTTTGGAAACCGGCACTTGCAAAGGGGGCCCTGGCCACAAACCTGGGGAAGCATCAGCACTCAGAGGCACTCAGGTGGAGTCCCCGCCTTTCGCCTCACACGTCCTCCTCATGGGCACGTTTACCACTGACAAGACGGCTGCCATATTGAACCTCAGTTTAAGGTACAACACTATTAATTCAGAAATGCTTCTCTTAACAGTCAAGTAAGTTTGAAATATGTAAAATGGACACCATTAAATACAAGGATGTGTTTTGCCTGAAAAAGTCAAGCTGTTTATATTCTTGTCCTGAGTCCCTGATGACAGCCTGCTACACACCCCTTTCTCTATCTATTCCATTTAGCAGGTGCAAATCTCCTATTTTGGAATCAGGATAAGTCATAATGAAAACAGGAAAAGATCAGGTACAATTCCTTATGAGTGTCCCCTCAGCTAGGCAGAGATCTGGGCAGATTAATAGTCCGAAAAATACAGGTCTTTTTCCAGCACTTCCACTGAATTTTCTCAATAGCAGGCAAGAAATATCAATACAAAATCAACACCACACAGTAAGCAACTACATGCATTTGCTCACTTCCCCAAGCCTACAAATAATTATTATTTCAGTCACAGCATCTTACTTGATAAAAATAACAAATTTACCCTCTACCGTTTTCAATTCTTCTGTTTGAGATGTAATGAGTATGATAGAAAAAGTTTTAAGATTTATGTTAACAACCAAGTAACTAGGTGACTTTACACAAGCTCTCTGACCTCTTTACTACTTACTTTCTCATTTGTAAAAAATAGAATAATAACCACATCGCGACGCTGTTGTGAAGGTTAATAATACAATTTATAAAATCATTACGACAAATTTCAACAGAAACAATTATCACTCATGTTCATTTCTTAAGTGAAAAAGACTAAGTTGTACAAATGTATCATTAAAAATAATTCTGTCTTAAGCTTGTTGTAACTACTAATTACGCACATATTTTCTGTAACTCTTGCTAAATAATCTACTTTAAAGAAAAATCTAGCATATGAATCATACACATTTCCCCAAATGGCCACAGTCAATCATTATCTTTCTACTCTCAGTATTTTATAAATCCTACCATCTATTTCAGCTGCACTGCAATCCCAAAGGCATATGGTTTAAGTCCACCAGGTGCTCCGGGGGGGGGGGGGGGGGGGGGGGGGATGGGCGATCTCCTCCAGTGCGATTACCTGCCTCTGAAAACTCGCCAGAGCGTCACCTATAGGTCGGTTCTGACTCGATGGTACAACAGCAACAACAGCCACCACCGTCTCTTTTAGGATCCTGTGCCTGACCCTGGTATTAACTATACACACAGTCAATTTTCAGACACTTGACATTACTTAGGAAATGATGGTTGGGTGCTAAGTCAGTCCCAACGCTTAACAACCACTTGAACTGCTTACAACACAACGAATCCCTGCCCAGTCCCTCTCCATCTGCACGCCCATCGACTCCTGAGTCCACTGCTGCGACCACGTGTCAGTCTACATAGTGAGGACTTCGCCTTTCCCTATTATCTTCTCTACCAGGCATGATGTTCCTCTCCCGGAAGTGGCTGCTACTCTCAACACGGCCCAAATACATGAGATACAAACTAGTCATCTTTCCTTTGAAGCACTCTGGCTGTCCTTCTTCCAGGGCAGATTTCTCAGTTCTTCTAGAAGTCTCTGATATATTATGGTGATCTCCGGTGGCTTGGGGGGGTATGGCATTGTGCTGCCAAGCCAAAGGCTTGCAGTTCAAATGCACCAGCTGCTCCTCGGGAGAAAGATAAACAATCTCCTCCCTTGGGATTTAGAACCGCTGAAAACCCAGGAGGATCAGCGAGGAGTCAGTTCTGATTCAAGAGTGCACAACCACAACAACAGGGTACATTCAATATTCATGAGCACCTTAATTCAAAAGCATCCATTCTTCATGAAGCAGAATACATAAATAAAAAGGCAGGCAGCGTCTCGTCAGGCCAAAGTACAGGAGTCGACCTGATGGAGCCACAGCCTCCAACAGTTAGCTGATGAGTGCTGAATGTGCAAAAGCTGGTGTAAGTGCTTGGAGTTCTTGGAGGGCTGTTTCTTTTTACAATATGCCAAGAATTTCTATCCAGAATTTGGATGTAAAGAAGAAAATTCTACAGAGGAGGGAGAGAACCGTCTAAAAGAGAGATGTAACTGGGTATTTCTGTCATCACAGGAGACTAGAGCGAGGGCTGCATGGTGGAGGGGACCTGGGGGAGGGTTTGTAAAACAATGAAAGAATCTTTTCTTTTACTTTTCCATAATTTTTGGACTCATGTACTTATAACTTGTTAGTCAAATTTTTGTCTTCTAGGTTGCAACCCCCCCCTGATACATCTTGAAGGATATGTACATGTACAGCCAAGCACAATCAATAAGAATGCATCTGAATTCCAAAATCAATCTCCATAATAGTCTATGTGTTTCCTACTGCCAAAGGGGCCCTTTAGAGTAGTGAGAGAAGATCTTCACCCTGAAACCCACAGCGTCCCTTTTCAGCAGGAAGTAGCTAAGAGAATACGCCGTCCCCTTTTCCTTATGACTCAGGGTGAAGTCTCTCTCAGGGAGGAGTGATAGGGAATGGCAAAGGACACACTGACAAAGAAGATTAATCAGAACTGGCTTTGACAAGCACTGTGGCATTTGGACAAGAACAAACTGGGAGGAGGGTAGAGAGAATAGTGCAACAATGAATGAGTGGAAGCCCAAAATCTCTGTAAATGTTTATGAAAATTAATAAAATATAATTATAGAAAAAAAAAAAAAAAAGAAGAAAATTCTACCAAATAAACAATGAACAGGGTAAGGACATTTGTGACCAAATCATGTTCTGAGTGCTCAGGGAACTTGGGGAAGATGGCACTTAGATCAATGAGCCTTTGGGCCTTTGCACAACTGAACACCTAATCCCTTTTTCAGAAGGATGCACATTATGCCCAAATAAGCAATTACGTCTTCTCTCCACATCAGTAAACTCCCACTCTCCCTCCTTCACATTCCCCCTTCATTTCTCAAAAAAAAACCCCGTTATCCTACAAATTTCCAGTGACTCAGAAAAGAATTAGAGTTGTGAAGGAGGGAGATAGGGGAAAGTAGAAAACAATCACTCGAGAATCGTGAGTCATTTCCATTATGCTAACATTTTTATTTCATAATTTCAAACAGCTTCAGTTTTTATCTAATTTCCAATTGAGATCTTAGTTCATACTTGAGTTTCTCTTCTGAAAAGGTTGCAGTGCACTTGTATATTAAAGTATTTAAATTTTCTACACTTTAGCAAACTGTTCATCTTTTAAAGTGACCCTCTTGTCCTTGGCCTTCATAGTAAATGAAGGTGAGGATTAAAATTCAACTCTTTCACCAACGTTTTCTTTAATGAGAAAAACAAAATTGAATTTGAAGTAGATTAAGTAAACTTGCTTGATGTCACTCAAGGTGAAACTGAGATGCGAAGCATTCACTAGATGCAAATATACCGCTAGCAAAGAAATTACTTGAGACTCTGTTTAAGCGGCAGTGGGTAGCATGCAAATTCTCTGGCCCCACCGATCATACTGCATGCTCCCCGATGCCCGAGATGTGTGTACCACACCGTGACCTTGCCCAGAACACAGACAATCTCAGAATGTGGTACAGAGGATCTCTCTAATAAACACAGGCTCTCAAGCTTTGAGGAGTTTGAGGATCACATGGGACACTGGCTACAAATGCAGGTTCCCAGCTGCTCCTCCAGATTCTTCATTCATGAGATCTGGATGGAGCACCAGAAGCTCAACTTTTACAAAGCACCACAGGCAACTCTGACGCTGATGGGCCACAGGAAACTCTCTGGAGAATCCTGATGAATCTGTGATTGTTGCAGGTGGATGTCGTGAAATAATAACCACTTGAAGTGGAACAGAACAGAACCGGGTCTCGTTCCATGCCATCTTCATCATTACCACTAGGGTCAGGTGTTCAGTTGCAGCTATTATGTCAACCAATCTCAAGGAGGATTGCCCTCATTTTGGTTGACCTTCTCCCAAATGTGGTGTCCGTTTCTAGTGATGGGCTTTTCTTAATGACATGTGCAAAGCTACCATCATGTCTCGGGAACGCTTCATTTCTAGTTCTTCAAAAGCTGGAGGGTTTTGTTGGGGTGTGTGTGTGTGTGTGTGTGTGTGTGTGTGTGTGTGTGTGTGTGTTCTTCTAGTAATCCATGTTATATTCAACATTTTGTCCAACATAATTTTGATGCATTCACCATTGTGTGAGACGATCATCTCCTTCTGGAACACACCATCAGAGATGCCTGAAGAAAACAGGCATTTAAAGCCCAATGGGAAATGGAAGGGCACTGGTATTTATCATAACAAAATAAGCCTTTCGGTTGTAAAGCACTCAAAACGTGCCTGGGGAAGAAGAGCCTACTCAAAGGAGAATCTGCCATAACGATGAGGATGGAATGAAGTCCTTATCCAGTTAAGGACCTTCATTTGCTCATGTGATGAGACTCAAAATGAAAAGAAACAGCTGCAAACGCAAGGCCTTCAGTGAGATGGTCTGACGCACTGGCTCCAGCAATGGGTTTGGGCATGACAGATGACGAAAACACAACAAGCCAGGACAAAGTTCCTCTCTGCCGCCCGTCAGGTGGCCGTGACTCCACTGGACTCAATAGTACCTGTCACCAGTGGCAACAAAGACTTTTTCTTCCTCAACACCAAGTCTCAAATCCCATGTAGGAGAGTCATCTTTTTACTCATTTATTCAATAAATTTGTTTCTTGACATCATGCTTCTAGATTGTCCAAAAACTATAATAAATTGATTGGGATTAGCGTGGTATGAATTGCAGTGAACTAATTCTATTTTCTATGTCAATTTTAAAGCATTTTTTGCTTTACTACTGATGAAAACACAATCCTTTTTTTTTCTCATTTCAGTGGTATTCTAGTAGTGAAAGTATTGAGTCAGTGGCTATATTTGGATAATTTGTGACCATCTTTACTAGTTTTTAAGACTTTCTCTGTTTTAAAATCTTGTTTTTTTTCTTTTTTCTTTCTAGTACCTTTTAACTGTTGTTATCCCTGCATTTCATTTCTCGGGTTTTAGTACAACAAGGAATCAAGGGTGGTGAATGTGGGTGTACGGATGGATGTGAGTGCACTGTATACTTGAGCATGTACACAAATAAAGTATATTTTTTATAAATGCTAACCGAAAAAACCCTTCTGATGCATTGATTTCTCTTCTGTCTTCTTTTTATGTTGTATAACTATTGCAGGTATATGAGGAAGCTGAGAAGATGATGGTTTGACTCGGTCACATCTTCACCATCACACCTTTGATGTCTTTGCTCTCTAACATTTTAAAGAGGTCTTTTACAAGAGTAGAGATGCTCTTCCTTCATGCACACTATAACCTCGGATGTAACTGGTGCCTTATAAACAAAACAAAGAAAATAAATAAGAAAGCAAACACAGTGTCATCAGCCCTAACCTGACATAAAATATTACAATGGTTTTCCTTGCCTCACACTCTACTACACAAGATCTACACTTGAATATGTATCTTGCCATTGACACACTCTCAGGACACTAAAAAGATATGAATTCCAATTTCCCATCATGCCACTGGAATGCCCACTTCAGCACTTAACTCTTCCTGAAGCGAAAAGGATGATGAGCCACGTGAGATGTTTGGTAGAACGATGGCTACTTAAGAAAGGGCTTGGATGATATTGAAAAGCCTAGAAAAGTTATCTGTACCCAAAACTTTCCTAATGTTCTCAACAAATGAACTAAAGATGGATAAATTAATATACTCACTCCCAGAGCGCTGATGTCTCAAAACAGGGAGTCACAGACAGTTGATGGGCTTCCACTGCTTGGAAAAATAGGGCCCCCAAAGAGGAAGATCTTGAACAAGCAAAGCTGACACAGTGACTCCAACAACGGACTTGAGCGTCGTGGAGACTAAGATGCTGCTGCAGGATGCATCAGGGCTTCAATAAACTATTCATAGAGCCACCATGACGCATAGTTGACTCTAAGCCCTTACTAACACCCAAGCCCAAGCCAAACCCACTGCCACTGAGTTCGTTTTGACTCACAGCAATTACCACTACTCCCACTTACTCTCTCTTCATGCTCCTCTCTATCGGCAGGTACCAGCTATTCTTCCTCATCCTCTCCTTCCCCCAGCCCTTCGCCCTCTTCCCACACGCACAGACCCCCTACTACCCTTCCAATGCTGCGACTAAATTGATCTAGGGCTCCAGGAGTTCTTATTTCTCTTGCAAGAGTAACAGTCATTGTTTTTAAACATGCTCAGAGACCCAAGGTCTCTGGTGCATTTCACTAAAATCAGAGTGCTGACTCCTAGGGGCCGAGAGTACACTTTTCAGAATTCCTACTGACAATACTCCAGGGAGTATGAGTTCATCCTTTCCACCTGATGGAACTGCAGCAGGAGAAAACTCCTGAGAGCCAAATGGAGAGACATAGGCCATTGTCCAGTGGAGACAACCTCCATCAAGGGCATGGACAGGAATGCATTTGCTTTCAAGTTGAGCCTCTTCAAGCAGGATTTTGCTAAATCAGTTTAATCCCACCTACGTAATTCACTATGCACTAACAACTAACAACTGTTATTAAGCAAGGCACTGCTCTGAGGGATTAAGCAGGAGTCCAGCAGGAGGGAGTTGTGGACGTCCACCTGAGTTTTAGTAGGTATGGTTAAGAGTCTTCCACATATCAACTCTTAGCAGGCTGACAGGTGAGAAGGGTACGAGGTGGTCCATCTGACTTTGGGTCATATGTTCAAAGGTGGTCCATTTGACTGCAGGTCCTACATTCAAATGCCTTTAAGAACAGCAGACTCAGGAAGCAGGGAGAGCTGGCTAGCTGGTCCTCCAAAACCCAGCAGCAACGATTCCACGTAATGCCTCTATACAAGATGATGGCTCTGAGAAGTCAGATTTTTAAAATTTTTCAAAAGAAGCCAGAAATTTAATTTTCACGTGACAGTCACTGCATTTTCCTTAATTAAATTAACATATGCATATAGTTTAAAAATCAAAGGCTTCTAACAAAGAACAATCGTAACTGTCCATCCCTCTCCAACCAACCTCTACCTCTAACCTCTGTAGCCAACACTCCCAACTTCTCCCTCTGTTTTCGTGTTGTGTGTTTTTTTAATTTTTCTCCCCGTAATTGTGGCTTCTTGCATATTATTTAAAACACTATATATGCCTCTGCTTCTTTTTCCTGATTTAGCTCTTCTAAATATGTGTTTCTTGCACTCATAGAAATAATTCTTTCCTTGTATTATTCAACGGTATACCCTGCCCCCCTTTCCACGCCATCCCAGGCTCCGCGTGCTCCTGGCTCTGCCGCTGACCACCACCACTAAGAGCTTCCGTTTGCGTTACTCCTGAGTTTGCCCTTCTCCCGCTTTCTGGGTTCCACGTTTCCCCTTTTTTGGTGAAGATTAATTCTATCAGAAATTGGAAGTCCTGCTCATTTAGCGGAACACACCTCTAGTGGCATCCTTAAATTAAGCTGCTTTTATGGGGTAAAGTCTTGAGGCCTCATGCGTTTTAAATGTCTTCCTTCTCCCGTCCTTTACTGAGAATTTGGCTAGTATAGATTCCTCCGTTGAAAATAACTTTCAGAAATTGATGAGCTCTCTCCATTACTTTTTAGATTCCTGCCCTGCCAGATAGACCTTATGTTATTCTGATTAATGTTGCTTTAGCTCTGTCCCCTTTTTCTCTCTGTAAGCGTTAGGATCTTCTCTTTATGCATGGTCAATAGACATTTCCTGGTGACACGGAGAGACGTTTTATGAGAACGCGAGGGTCCAAAGCTGGCAGAGTCAATTGCTAACCAAGTGACCTATGGAACTCGCCCTACAGTACCTGCATTAAATGAGGATAAAAGAACGCCCTTCATGTGAAGTGGCTGTGAGGATTAAAGGGACGGTACTTCAAAGCCATCACAGCAGTGCCTGGCACTCACAAACAATCAATAGACAGGGGGGTTTACAATTACGGTTATAATCAGCACCATGATTCTTTGTTCTAGTGGACTTTCTATTAAGCTTGTGTGCATCCTTCAGTCTTGTTTTCTGAATTGAATCTTAAAATTATTCCTTTCCTTCCATTTTCTTTCTTTTTTTCCCTGAAGTCCTATTAACAATACTTTTACGAGCAAGAAGGAGGGGTGAAAGTTAATTAGTGTTCGGCTTGGCCCTACTGTGGGGAATCTCTGAAGTAAGAAGAATAAACTCTTTCCACAGCTGTACCATTTGTACAGGAAAATGCATCCACCAGCTTGCATTAATGAGGAGGGCAGGGAAGGCTCATGTGAGGAGGGCAGGCCGTTATCATTTCCACGAGGAGAGGGCTACAGCGGGTAACATAATATGTGGTCTACAATGTGAGAGGAGTGTTTCCGGGTAGTAGAGTAAGCTAGAAGGTAGTTTAGGACCTGCACAAACAAATCCACTGTCACCAAGTACGCTCCAAACCCGAATGAGCTTCCTGGAGAGTAGAACCGCCCAGACGATTTCCAGGGCTGTAATCTCTGTAGAGAAAGATGGACAATGTCCTCCCACGAGAATTACTACCTCTGAAAACCCATTATGCAGTTAGTCATGGGCCAGTTCTGACTTGAAGTTACACAGAACCACCATCTCTAAAGGAGCAGGCTGCTTGACCCTGTTCCTGTAGAGACACTGGTGAGGTCAAACAGCCAACCCTCTGGTTACCAGGTAAATGCTCTGACCACACTGTGCCACTGGGGCTCCATGCAGGGAACATAGGGAGGATTTAAAGAAATAACAGGGAAGGATTGTGGAAAGAGAGCCCCAAAGTCACCCAGAAAGCCTCCGGCTGCCCTGCCCCCTGGGGTCTGTAGGTGCTGGGAATAAACCTAGGCATACTGGTTGGTCTAAGGACTGAGAAACTGGCACATCCACACAATGGAATACTATGCAGCACTCAGGAGCAACGATTTTGAAAAATACTACATAACTTGGGAGAGGCTGAAGAGCATTATGCTGAGTGAACTAATGCAGTCTCAGAAGGACAAATACTGCAGAAGATCATTATTGTAAAAATGGAAGGATAACTAGTAAAACATGTACAGAAACTCAACGGGGGAGGGGACCAGAGGAGTGAGAATAGGTGGAGGTGAAACCACAGGGCTGCGCAGTTTGGGGGGTGGATTGGGGGAGTAAATGGGAAGGATCCGGGTGAAAAGACAGGGTAATGATGGGCAAGATCCAATGGTGATCGACTTTATAAAATATAATGTATGAGACTGATTGCATGAGACACAATATGAGTAAAGAATAGGGTGAAACACAATGTACATAAATTTTGTAAGCAAACCAATTTAAAAAGATAATGTAAAAAACATATTACAAATAAGTGGTTACCAATCACCTTTCCTCTAGGAGCTCAGTGTGACATGACCAGCTCTGGCTACCCTGTGTCCCATCCCTGCCACAAGGTGGGCATTCTCAAGGACACTGTCATACACAGAGCATGACACCAAGGGACCACACTGTGAATGAACTGGCCCATTGCTCAGACCACATTTCCCCTTCCTTTATCCTCAGATCCCTTTTTTTTTAAATTAAGGTTTTAAGGAAAGTTTATAGAGAACTTGGATTTCCATTCATTCATTCATTGTTGCACAAATCCTTTTCTTTTTTTAAACATCCCAACCTCTACTGAGTCAGAAGGCTATAAAGCCAGGCACATTTGTGCCGCGAGATACTGAGACACACGTAGCTTCCATCAGGGAATATGCCACTTGCCTTTCCCCACCCTGAGCTGATGATGGAGCAGCTGACTGGAGACACACACACACACACACACACACACACACACACACACACACACGGCACTAAATGAAAATCAACGAAGGCCAGGAGGCCTAGGATCCGCTTGTGCGTCCAAGCAATCTGCTGACCTCTCGCTGACACGACTTATTATATTTTAGTGTCGGAATCAATTGAATGGTGGGTTCTAAAGAGAGCAACTGAATACATTTGTGCTTTGGGAAAAAGCCACCTCAGTGGCCCCCATCCATCTCTGCTCTATGGAAGGGAAAAGCCTGGAAGTGCCTTGTTTTCTTTCCACGGCAATATGCCTGCAGAGCACATAAGGATTCTGTAACACGCAGCAGCCACTCTGATTTATCCTCTGAAGGCAACGTCGGAGCCAACGAGAATGTAAATCTCCGAGAAATCGCCTTTGTGTTGGGAAAGTGGATGGGCCGTCGTCCACCAGGTCCCAGCCACGTACAGGCTGCAATGCCCTCTGGTGGTAGATGCAGTTTTCCTGCACTGGGCCCTTCTCTAAGGACTCCAAGGGTGGGTGAGCCACAGGCCGAGGGAAACTGTGTCCAGGACTGAAAGCAAAGCAATCAACACTAAAATATATAACAGGAACAGCTCGGCATCTGGTGGTCCCTTACACTTGCTGGGGACTGCCTACTGAAAGAACATGGACATGGTATCCGAAAGAACAGCTCTGGAGCCTGGCTCTGTGCGTGTATGCTGGATGGCCGAGGACAAGTCCGACAGCCACAGCCACTGCCATGGAGCAGATACCGACCCATCGAGACCCTGGAGGACATAGCAGAACTGCCCCCTGGACGTGAAGGCTGGATGCAGATCTTTCTGGGAGTAGACTGCATCATCTTTCAAAAACCAGCACCCACAGCACCACCATGAGCCCTTTATCTTCTCATCTGTGGAAAGAGAAGAATTCCTATCCCATCAGGTCATTGTCTGCATAAAACAATAAGCAAATTGTGTTAAACCAGGGCTGACAGTGACCTCTAAGCGGCAGCTGTCATTGAATCTGTGATGCAGCTCCGCATGGTTCTGGATTCTTTGCAGAATTTGATGAGATTGTGGACGATAACAGAGATTGAAAAACTACAGATTTGAACGTTGGCCCTGTCCTTCCAAGAGAGACAAGGCAGAGAGCTGGAAGACCGCTGGGAGGACCCTGCGTGATGGTTTCGTTCCTCAGTGTGCCTGTATCTTACTCTAGAGCTATTACGCTTCAGCAGCCCTTTGAAAACTCACAAGCTATTTCAAAGACAGAGAATCCCTATCTAAACAACTAGTTTTGCACCAGTTGATCCAAGGTATTTTAAGGCCTCAGGACTGTCAGCAAAGTGCCCACCAATTTCATTTTAAGTCACAAAGCAGCAACTGTTCTCCATGAGTCATCTATTTGAACGGCTGA